GTATATAAGACAACTCGAAATGTCTGATAATAATTTAATGCTAGGAAAATCCAAAATCTAAGTACTCGGACGTTAAATTGTGGGTAAAATATATCTATGCATTTTTTTCATCTTTATATCGTTTATATATATATATATATTATTTTTCTAAAATTTACAGAAAAAAAAGTTACCTCTTTTAAAAAATTCTTTTGCGCGTCTTCGTCCACTCTGTACAATTCCTTGAGGACCATCACTTCATCCGTGTCACGATGCGTCACTTTGAACACTTGTCCAAAGAATCCTTTGCCTAAGAGCTCTCCCTTTACCAAATCGCTCGCTCGAAATATTCTCTGATTCTTTGGCTCTACGCGGAAAGATCTGGTTCGGCTCAGATCGTAAGTAGGATTCGTTGGGGAAGATCTATAAAGAAATTAAATTTAACGAATTATATTATAATTTATGAATCAATTATTAAGAATGTAACTATCAATATACCCATCGAGTAATCGCGACATAGAACTGCTGCGTTCTTTATGCATCGGATCTCTCGTCCTTCGCAATTGTCGACTCCGCGTACCGCTGATGTAACCCTCATCTCGGCGTTTAAATAATCGCTCTTTGCCTTCAGGACTCGTCCTGGGGCTGCCGACGCATGTCAGCATCGCCGAGGAAGGCGAGGAAAATGTGGGCCGTCGTGATACCGCATCTGGATCGTGCTCGATAGTTAACTAAAACAGCAAATATATTTATCGTTTCAATTTAATTGCAATAATAGTAGTGTCGACCAAACAATATATTTTGAAAAATACTCCTTACTTGTAGAACTGTATCCGAATATTGTATGAGGTTTTCGATATTTTCCACTGGTTGGTCCTTAACAGGGGTGCCATTTACTTCCAAAATTCGGTCGCCAATATGTAACGATATAAGATCGCTGGACATGTTCAATCTGTAACATTTATATGATGGGATGTTTTTATCATTGCTATTACTGCAGTAACAAGACATGCAAACATTTGCATGCATTACATTCTCTTCTCGCTGTGATAAAGCCACATAGGAAGAAATACACACAATAACAATAATTTTCAGCATAATGGGATAACTCCCTTTAACAAACGTTGATAACAAAAATGATAGGGAAAATGTCACAAGAGTACCGAAGATTATAGAATATAATAGGAAATTCTCTTAATGAATTATTCTAGCTATAATTATTAAGATTTTAGGATTCTGTTTTATGGAAATTTATTGTACGAAATAAAACAGAAATATTTGGAAAGCATGGAAAGCACAGTGTTCAGAAATGATATTGGATTAACTACACGAATTTGTAGTTGAATTACAAAATAGCTTGCACCAAATCCATAATATTCTAAAAATGATGAACATAAAAGCAATTAATACTTGCGATCCAATTATCAAATTGATTAATTGTAATAACATAAATTGTTACTTCTTAAACTACATCAAGCATGCACGTGACATAAAAAATGTGATATATATAATAATATGTAATTAAAATATCGTAAAATGGTTGCCACATATTGATGAAAATTGGATAAACATATTTTTTACGTGTTACTAACATAATTGCTACTGATATGCGAGCACAATCTGTAAAGTTAGCAATATGTAGTGCGTATTATTGATTTGTTATGCAATACCTATGATTAGAGAAGTGGCAGCATAGTCTAAATAGAACCTCCATCACAGAGGCCAGCAGCTTACTGATTTTTCCACGAACATTTCTCATTAACCTGCGTTTTAGTTGAATGTTATTAGCTAATACTTATTTATACCAACTCTTAAATAATCATCGGGACTATCATGCATTGTTAAATATCCTAGAGAAGCAACTGTTTTAGACGTAAGAATATAATCCTGAGAAATGAAGAGATCCAAATGCTCTGCTTTTATTACATGTGACAATTGTTGCCTATCTACATAAATCTCGATCTCCATAAAATTTAATTTATGTGTATAAATATAATTTTTGCTTACAGGTAGTTTGTTTACAGTGTATCGTGTGCGTATAATAGGATATTTAAAAATGTAAAATATATTATATCATACGTACTCTGAAATACGCAACGAAGCGCCACAACTGCGGGGACTGGGAGCTGTGTCTAAGGTGAGTTTAATTCCTCTCTGCTTATTTGGATCTGTCGTGCTTGGAGGTATCTCTACCAATCTAATGCTGTGTGGTTTTCTAGCGAAAGGATAATTCGCTGTCCTGTTGAGTGGCTGCATCTGTCGCTTGTAACACATCCCACAGTACAACTTAGACCGTTCGACGAGCGCATAACTCTCGCCGTCCCCGATGAAAGCACCGCAAGAAGTACAGGCAAAGCATTCTGGATGAAATTTGTGATCGCCTGCCAGCATAACAGGACCTGTAATGATCTGACCACAGCCCTGACATGCTTCGCCGTAAGCAGCCCAATAATCGTCTTTACAAAATAGTAAGCCATCTTTCTCGAAGTACCAGGAGGATAGGCCAATATCACATGCCGAACACCTGTAAGATATAAAGATAAATAATTTATTCAAAATATTCAACGGTATTTTACAATATCTTATGATGTATCTTGGCATTTTTACCGGAAACAATCAATGTGCCATTCTTGGTTTAATGCCTGTATAAATTCATCTTCATCGATAGCATTGAGACAACCGGCGCATATTAATGTCCCCCCACTTTCTCCACCTCCTGGATCTAAAAAATTACAATTGATAAACAATGTGCACTTTTATATATCATATAAATAGATAAAACTTTAATTAGATTATTAATAGATAATATAACAATATATCATATGCTGTATAAAGATAATCTCCTTTTAAATTGCCACAAAGAGAAATAGAATTTGAAAAAATATTTTAATTAGTATCAACATATCAACATTTGTCACAATTCCATAATTATATAATTATTTAAATATTATACTCATATTTCAAAATTGTTTTTATAGATATATCACGCATAACGAATGCAAGTAATTCTAAGAAGAGAAAAGGCGGGCTGAAGGGATGTGTCTCGGGAAAGAAACATGAATCACGTTTGACATTAAGCATGAGATCGACGAAGTAATCAAGCAGCTGATAGCGAAGTGAACGATTGGAAAGTGCTGCAGAATTGTTCGAGTGACGTGAGACACTGCATTTTGCGATGACGAATGGAGATTACATTTGTCGCGGACACGAGAAGATAACGCGACAAAACACATAAATAAACTTATTAATGCGGGAGTGTGGGTAACAAGAGACACGGAAGGTAAGGACGCCCACGCGATGCGCGACGCGTTCAGCTTCGCTGTTTCGTCGACAGCGCGTCGCACAAACATCGAGCCGCCGTCGCGACGCTCATCTTATCAACACGATTGTCGCGTAACTCGGTCACAGCAGAGCAATGCTATTTTTCTCCAAAAAGACCCACCGTTTGTCGAAACTTCATCCATCACGGCATGTACGATTGACACACTCCCACTCCACTGCGCTCAACCACTGAGCTCGAGACTCATACAGATCGTAGACCGGAAAGTGATTCTAACCGCGATCACAACGACGCTCTATTGCCTTGCGTGAAATGTTCGCAGCAAATGGCGCAGAAGTTTAACTCGAGATAGTAGACGGCATCGTATGTTGTTGAAGATCTATAATGAGATCTATAACAAGTAAATTGTATAAAGTATGCATGAACTAAATTAGAACTCCTTAAAAAATACTTTTAGAAAAGGTGAATGAAAAGCAAGAAGTAGGGTTTTGCTTAAATATATATTTAATTTTTAGTACAATTGTTATTTATTCTTATCTAAATATTTTTTTCTATAACTTTTTTATGCTTGTAACATATATTTGAATCCTAAAGATAAATATTGGATTTTATGAAAATAGTAAAATATTTGTTAGAATATTAATATAGTTTAACAACATAGAAAATAGCTCGAAAGTTATTGTTCTTACTACGTAAATTAATATTACATCACTTCATTATAAAGTCATTAGCCATACAATTATTTGCCTTTGAACATAATACCTTAAAATAGCTAATTAACAGGTAGTTAAGAAATGCTTGTTATCAGCCTCAAGCAGAGATATAGTTTCATTATAATAGACTAGATTATGTTAGAATCAGTAATTATGACAAATCAAATAATTATGGCTTATGACACATCAAATAATATACAATTACTAGTGTCAATTCGAATATTCATATATTCTTCTTATTTTCAAGTTGCGAGAAGAATTAGTATATGATACTGTTGCCTTGTAACAAGCAAATCTCTCTACATTATCTCTGCAAATTTAGAAGAGAATAATTCTATCTTATATATAGCGTAGAAAAGACTCAATTAGAAATATTTTTTACAGGTAGCCAGACGATAGATCGAACTATAGTTACCAGGATGAATATAAATATGTACAGCAGAATACATTCAAAGGATAACATAATTGCACCATCCAAACAATCGGTCATGCTATTACGAAAGGATTGAGGTAACTTAATTTCTAAGAATGGTATGTAGTTGATAACGTGCACAATTGTGCGCGACAGTAAGGACGGCAATTTGATACGTAATAAACAACTTAGTTGTCATCATATCATGGTCGTATACTGGATCAGCCCTTTTATCTATTCTTTTTATCATCTTGGGGGTTGTCCTTCTGTCGCTTCCGAATTCATATGTTCATATTCAGAGGCATCAGAGGTACGTATTTATCACTAGGTCGGAATTTGTACTGTGAGCATAATCGATTGGACACTGCTTCTGCATAACCATTCCTGCAACAAATTTTATCGAATTATCGATTAGAGTCAGTCAAACTATCGAATTTCATCTCAGGGTTGCAGAGAAATTTGTTAAATAAAGCAATTTATAAACGTAATAATAAAATATTTGTTGAGATCTAAATATTTGTCAGCATTGAAAAATTAGTTTTTACAAAGTGGAAAAACTTTCACCAGAGAATTAAAATTGTTAAATGCAGAATAATATATAATATATAAAAACCTTCATCAGAATGTTAAAACTATTACATAAGAATTGAGAATGATATGCAAAACCATTATTAAAATATTAAAAAAATAAAAAAAATATTTACGACAAGTTTTTCTTTATAATTCTATAGACGTTTTAAAACAACGTCTTGCGTCGCCCGAGCAGCGGACAACGCAATTTCACGAAGATTATTCCTCTGCCTTCGCTCCATGAGCTCTTTGAGTACGTAGAAGGTTATCAATAACGGTCTTCCGAACCATCTTCTATGATCCGTTAATTCTTTCAAATAATATCTTGGGGAATTTATCCATACGATATCACAACTAAAACGATTTTATATATATAATGGCGAGAAGATTATTATAATTTTTAATTAAAATAACAATAATATTTATCTTAGTTTTTTATAAAATTGTTTCTTATAACTATTTAATAAATGAGTAAACAAATGAATCAAGTTGAAAAATTTTAATAACTTTGTTTTTATATAAAATTGCATACCTTTGCCATTCTGAGCATGGTCTTCTTTCTTTAAAACAGGTGACCTGAATAACATTGAAGAAAAGCGCACCAAGGGTGTTAGCCACCTCGGTATTGAGATTCTGCAAACATCTACGGAACTTTGCATCGCAATCGCAATGTGAACGAGTAATCGGCGAGTTATTGCATATACCATGTATACACTCCTGCGGCGCTATCGTATACGAACAATGATCATGTTCTCTGCAGCAAGCATCTTCGGCCGCATGTTGTCCTAACTCCTTGTAGGAATCAGCTATGTTGCCCGGTCCGCACCATTTGGTACCCGGGTATATCAAACCACCAGGCGCTTGGTTCTAAAGACAGGTTTTCAAAATATTCATTATTTAAATTATTTTCTGCAAAAAATTTAATTACACGAAAACATTGAAATATAACTTTTCTCAATTTTATTTAATTTGATGAAAATTTGATTTCATAAATTAATCTCAATTCATCTTCCAAGGTTAAACTTATAAAAATACAAAAATAGATTTTAAACAAAAAAACTCGAGTAATAATTTCAAATACTTTATTCTTGAATTTAAATATGGTATGTCTTACCTTTCCCCTATTTCGCGAAGCCTTGCAGGTCTCTTCGAGATCAGTAACGAGGTTGCTGGAAATCTGTCGAACTTTTCTGGGATCTGCGCCAAGGACCATTTTCTGGATGACCCCGCGATCATTGTAAAGTGCACAAAAAGGAGCGTCAGCATTTAATTCTACCATTCTGGACATGGTAGTGTCAGCGACCAGTACGCTCGCTTCGATTCTCTGAGCCCAGAGAATCGGCAGAACGCTCAACAGCACAACAAGCATCTGTGAAAGGTAAGAAATGACAGTCTGAACCATTCGAAACGAGTGATAGAAAACAACTGCTAATATTTCAACGGGCGGTCATTTCGACCGCGGGGGTCATTTAGCAATCGACCTTCGTTTCGAAGTGTTTGCATCGCCGAAAGTTTCGATTTAAAAACAGCTCTCAAGAAAAAGAAGACTAAAATTGTGCAATTTTAAGAGACACTCTCCAATCTCGCCAAGGCCACTATTAAATCAATTTTTTCGTAATGGTAGAACGAAAAGAAAGAAATTCTACCTGCTGCATAATGCTTTGTTGTATGTTGCAAATCAACATGTTTATATAAATTAAGAAACTACTTTATAATTTCTTAGCGACTTAATAACAAATCATTGCGATATCTTTACATGTCGAGTGAAAATTTTTGGTGTATTATTAGTAGATTTCACACGTAGATAATTTTTTCGGCAAATTACTAAATGATAAACTATAGTGGCTCTTTGTGATGAAAGAATTACAAATCGGCAATTTATTGCGTTGCTATTTACTTTTGCGAAATATTGCACAAAGTGGCAACTGTCTTTAAAATTGACAAAAATTACCAATATGCGACGTATACCTTCATGTTATTCGTTAAAACGTAGATGAGTGGGTGCCGGCAGATAGTTAAGTGCTCGCATTTAAGCGGATATATTTAATTCTGAGAATCGAACTAATCTGTGACCTCAGTTCGGTTTGGGTCGTTTCAATTCAGGGCGATCGTGAAAACGGAAGTGCGCACCCCGAAAGAGAACCCATATACAATTCATATACATAGCAATGTAGGTCAACGAGGTTCATTGACGAACTTGTCTTTTGAACCTGCGTCGAGGGCTGCCGACAACAAGATCACCCTACAATTAATTCACCTTGTCGACTGACCCAGTATACTGCACCGTTATTCGTCGCGAATCGCTATTATTAAATCATCAAAATTATTTATTTAAATTCTACTTTATGTTCGTCTCCCCGGCTTGAAAAAAAAAGTAAAATATATAATACAAATGTTTTTTCATAGAAAACATCAATTTTTCCATATTAAATATTTACTCTTCACAATGTTTCCATGTTTTCGTGTAAATATTAAAAATTGAATAGAATTATTTTTATTTTTAATGTAGGAATACATAATTATTTTAATATATATGATTTCAACATTGTTTAACCATTTCTTGTGATTCTTAGACAAACAACGAAATCTTTTTTATTGAAACGAAGTACAATAGTCTATTCAGCAATAAAGCGACAAGCTATTAAAGTTTAAGTGTTGAAAAGTTACAACGTGTTGTGCAACATAAAACTCTTTAACTCTTTAAACGAAATAAGCCTATTATCTCCAATCATTTGCATTCTAAAACCTTTCGCTTTTTTTCTTCGAAAAGACAATCAAACTCGAAAATTGAAATAAAGTATTATATAATCAATCTCATTATATGATAAATAAAATATACGAATTGTCTCGAGCACTACGAATGGCAATCAAAGTTATGCTTTTTTTGAAAAATTTAAATAAATCTTTTCTAGCAAAAAGTTAAAATTATGTATTACACATTTATTTTTCAATACACGCAAAAATTGAAGTAATAATTTTTATTAAGAAAAATGTTCTCTAACAGAAGTTCAAGTATTTTTATGTTTTTAAATGAATCTTTCTATAATTAATTACAGAAGAAAATCGATTACAGAGCTATATAAAGAATGTATTATTGACTTTTACATTTTCCGATATAGCTTGTGTAATCAATGATGTTGGGTCAACGAAGATCGTTGTCGAACTTGTTTCTTGAGCCTATGTGTCAATGTATGACAGCAAGACAACTTTATCATAATTGGATGCAATCTGGACGACTATAACGCATCTACATTTGTCTCGTCGGTCATCGTTTATTCCTAATCGCGATTATTATCAAATCAGTTCAACCAACAGATTTGTCGTGCTGACGAAAGCAGACGTAGCACAGAACGATAAAGGTAAATACAAAAATATGTATCTTGTTGTCTTTTTACATTATTTTTTCTACATTCTTATCTTTTGACAACGCAATCTTTGTAGAATACGAAAGTCTTTAACTTTTACTGCTCAATTATTTAGGACAACGTGATCTATCTTTACGCAATACTTTTTCGTACTTTCTAGCACTGACAAAACTGCGAGAAGGCATATGTGGAACATACAGGTGCAAGTGACTATGGAGATATCTATATAAAAAAAAATTATTCACCGTCAAGAAATCATTGCTCCTTGATATTAAAGAAAATTGAGAGTTGTATATCTGTGAAACGAAGAATTTAAGATATGAATTTTAACAATCTATCTACATTTCTGTCTAGAAAATGGTAAGAATTCGTAAGAATATATTCACAGTGCTAAATTTGAAATTTAATATTAATTTTAGAATTAAAAATGTTGACTATCAAAATTTTTCATATTTAATATACAACTAGTACACACGGTCACAGGAATGCCTTAACACATGAACTTGCACGAGTGTAAATTTCACAGGCCGATTCAAATGTGCCTTGACACTCGTTAACAAATTCATGTGTTAAGGCATTCCTGTGATCGTGTGTACAAAAGAGAAACTTTTAATAAATACTTGTGCGCATATTCCAATCATTGTGTAATATTACAAATTTTTTAGTTTGTAATATTAAAAACTAATCTGTAATATGTTAAAATATATTTATGATATTTTTTTACCGTTATAGAGATATACACACACATGTTCTTTTAATGTATTAATTTCTAATTTTTAATTACAAGTTTTGCTAATTTATAATCAATTTATTCTTAACAAAAATGTGTTAAGAAAATCATTATTTATTGCAATATTCCGATTATTAGCATCACATATCTTTGAAATTTAAATTAATATTTTATTAAATTTACCTAAAGTTAGTTGAAAAATATATTTATTTCTGTTTTCTAAGCAATTTTTCTTTTTCAGCATACTTGATCAAGAATTATAGATGCCTCAACAGTTTTGCTGCAATTGAATGCAAAATCTCTATTTCTACCTGAAGATAAACCAGTCTGGACGAATGATTGGAGCTTACATCGCTCACAAGATAGATGCTCACGATTATTAATACAATTCGGAGGTGATGCAGTTTCCTATCCGAGACCGACAAATCCGCGAATACGACTGAAAAAGAAGGTATGGAAACGCAGCGGATGCGCGAATCCGCCGATGCAAGTCTAAACTGCGCACCCCGTAACCCACCCTGCAACACGACCGACCCGTTGTGCACTGCAGTGCGTATAACGGGCAGTAAAAAGGGTGCAGCCGTATTTCTGTAGTTCGCAAAAGCTATATATTTCACCAAAGCGCACAAGATTGCTAAAATTAGATTTCATCTAGAAAAACTATGGCTGATAATTAGTTTCAGTCTTAGATTAGACAATTACTTTTTCGAGAGGAGTTAAAAATGAAATGGATAATGGTGTATAGTTTTCATAAATAAAACATAAATCGTCATAACACAATCTTAGCATAACAAGTAAACCGCAAGTATATATATAGCGAAAGTTGATGCGTCGAAATAGCGTTATTGAACCGGGATAGCTAATGCTGTATTGTGGCAATAAGAACACGTCAGTGCGTAAGAGTAAGTGCACAACATTACGCCTATTTCGCAAAATTTCTTTTAACGAACTTTCGATTTTCGTATAAAATATTCGGATAGTGCAATATTTTGGAAAAAGGCATCGGTGTGCAACGGCTAAATGAAACATAAATTAAATGTATTGACAAATCTAGGAATAAAAGAGAAAAAAATAGTATTCACACATATATTTAAAACGTAATTTATAATTTTAGCATTCCAATAATATAACAAACAAAAAATAGAATATTGCATCGATCAATTTTGTTTAAGAAAATACAATAAGAGAGAAAATACAGTACAATATTAGAAATTATGTTAGAAAAATATTACACAGTTGCCAATATTTTCATGCATTAATATAAGCATACATACCTTGAAATTCGCTGTTGTCGACTTTGCCGCAGAAAGATGCGACTGTATTAAAAAATCTCGAAGACGATTCAACTATGAAATTGGCTTGTTGCTCCTCAACAGTCACTCTCAGACTGATGGTTCCACCGAGACGTCAGGATACTAATATTCGCGGTCGCGTATATACCAACACCACCGGTCACATTACACACGCATTAGGGGAGAATCTAATTCATGTGATGGAGAATGTTTATGTAGAGCACGTCGCAAGAGAGCAATTGATTTTTCCCATCTGTGAAATGTGTCAATGAGAAATTTTTCCTTGCACAGATAATTCGGCCTTTGTCCTCAGAGAAATAATTTTCAATATTATGATTTGAGAAAGATCATCCTGAGATCACTCGTGATTTCACGTTCTTTTGAAAAAATGTATACAACAGTGCAAATAATTTTGTCATAGACAATTTTTTTCTAATTTTTTAATACACGCAACTTACCGACGTGATCGATAGCGTATACAGCTGTGTTCTATAGCTATTACTAGAAGTTTCTATGAATAGTGAACTTGACGCACGACAATATAAGACCAAAGAATAACGGCAAACTATTATATATATATATATTAGGTTCAATAAGCAATAAGATATAGCAATAAATATATGTTGTGCTTTTATTTTAAAGTTTTATTAAATGTCAATATTTTTAAAAATATACATACGTTATTAACAGTATACATTCGTATATAATAGTCTAATCGTCTTGAAATTATGAATAAAATAGAATTAGAATATTAGAATATGTGGTAACGAATTCGTTAGGATTTAGGGAATCCATTCCACGTCGTTGGTCTCTAATCTTCCACCGCCACTCCTAACATTCGACGTGACGCGGCTGTTTTGTTCCGTCGATGTTTGATCGTCCTTTCCGGCTATTTTGTGATAGACCTGACTTCCGGTTTCAGCGACCCACTGAACTCCGTCACCGATCTTCTCTCCCGCTTTGCGCACCGCATTACCAAAGTTTTCGGCGGTAAAGGTGTTAGGATCGATGTTGATGTCCAGGCTGTTGTTGCCATGCGGGCAGCCGGACTGCGAGATAATGCTCAGATCGAATGGATCGACACCGTATTGAGCCAGTCGTTGACGTATTTTATCTACTTGACCCTGATCCAGCGTCTGGGTCCTCGAGAGAATCGTCGCGCTTTGCCGATGGGCGAACGCCAGTTTCTGGCACGTGAATATCCCGGCGTACGTGTCATAATCCGTCATAAACACCACGTGAGATGCGCTTCCAGCTACATCTAGATCACAGATACGAATTTTAGTTATGCAATGCGGAAGTTCATAATTCGAATGCGAACTATTAACTAAGAAGACAATTTTATTTAACGTAAGATTAGAACGTAGCCATCTGTCTCCAATTTGTATAATGTCTTGTTATTTGTGACAAATTGAGGAAGAAGCTACTGTTTTGAAGATGAAACTTAGCTTCTATTAAAAACCGTTAGAAATCATTATAAATTTTGCCATATAATACTCAAAATTATTATTCTATTTTTTATAAAGTAAATTACTTTTCACGCTAATAAATTTATGATTAATTTCATTTAAGGCACTTACTAAGAGGGAAACGGACTTGCATACGCCCTGGAGTGCTAGGTTCGGGTACAGTCAGATCGCCGGTGTAGTGATATTCATGTTTCAACGGCGTAAGACCTGCACATATGCATCCGCAATTACGGATAATTCATCCCACTTGCTAGACATTTATCCCATTGACTTTTATGACTCCCAGTGGGGTCCCGATACGTCACAAAAGTTGACGTGTCACCTTTCTTTATCAATCGCATGACACATGCTTGCTGATTTTTAATTATCTTACCTAAGATCAGATGATCCGAATCCTGCGTTATCACGTACTCGCCTGGCTCTTCTCCTCGCGTGTAATTATAAGTGATGCACTTGCTACCAGTCGATGTCTTCTGAATGACGTACCACAAGCCTAGAAACTAAAATTTTAAACAAATCGTTAAACAAGTTCAAACAATTATTTTCAGGTATCATAAATTATAAACTTAATTAAAAAATAAACATAGATGCAAATAAAATAAAATTTTAAATTGTTACAAGGGCAATTTTTACTCCTAGTAAGCAGTGGTCGAAGTAGGAAAAAATCAGTAAGAATATATTTTCCTAAAATTCCCAAGATAACACACCGTTCTATGAACGGTATCCTGCAGCAAAAAGAAAAATAGATCTAAAATTACTAACTAAAGAATTTAAACCTTGGTTTTTCATGTTTTAATTTAGAATTTAATGCCCATAGTCTACGTAATCATAAACAACAAGCAAAATAAGGGGAAAGAGCATAGTTCAATATTATCGGGCACATAGTGGCATACCAATTAGCCAGACGGTATATCTTCCAGTTAAAAATATAGTGACGATATTTCATTAGCCAGTGACATTATGGTTTTTTTTGTAATCTACAAATTTAGCGATGATATAGTGCACCGCCTCACTTCGAACACTGCTGATCAAAATAAGCAACGTACACATCTTGATAAATTTAAGTTGAACTGATAATTGGACTTACTCTGTTCATCTGAAAACTCTGCATAGGTTCCACGATGGGACAAGCGCCCATATGATACGTATGAGCTTGAGTAAAAGCGAGGCATCCCGCCAATACCAAACACCAGGTCAAGGACTGCATCTTCTGAAAGCAACAAAAAGGTATTCAGATTCTCGCGCAAAAAATTACGGGTTTTTCCACAAATTCGATACAAAAAATTAGTATCAATAACTAAAACTTGTTAGGATGTTTTCGAATTTCTGATTAAAATTTATTCATCAAATTTATTATGATTATTTTATTTTTAATCTGTTAATAAATTAGTACACAATATTTTTTATTATATTTAATAGACAATATAATATATATAAATAAATGAAAAAGTTGAATAATAATAGTAATGTAGAATTTAATGAAAGAGTATTGGTTTAATAGCAAGTATCTGTACAAAGCAGTGAACAAAAATCGAACGTGAATTTTAACAATTACGGAAGTTTCGACGGAAGCAGTGACATCACGCATCTTTATAATTTCAATACAATTCCGGTGCATATAACTATCCGTATAAGCGCACTATATTCAGCAGATAAAGATCTTTATACAAGCACAGTCATGATCTCGGATTTCAAGTACAATCAGTGGAGCGTGATTCATTCGCCTTGGACACACATCACAGAGCAAAGACCTCTGTTTTGTGAGCCCCTACAAATAACAGCGATGCTTGTATTCGTTTTTTTCACCTATTTTATATAATATAACGATATGTCGATGACGCGCAGTAATAACTGACACATAAAATGATTAGGATCGACCTGTATGACCTCTCGTTTCGTGACGTAACGAATATTTTTACTTTAAATATGCGATAATATAAATCAAGTTAGTTTCATTTCTTTTATCTTCTTTACAAATATTTTTACAGCAAAATCAGAATTTATTTAGAAGACTAAAAGAAGAAATACATATGTTTAATTAATATAGTTTTCTATCTATTTTGCACAGAAGGTATTAAATATCTTTTGTCTGAATGTATGTGAAAGTGAAACAAGATTCTTAAAAAGAGTGAACAGAAATTTAAGCAACACGATATTATCCAGCTAACACAAAAATGCTTATGCAGGAAATGAGATAAATACACTATTCACGTACAGAAAGAAATAAAGTTATGAACTCGAAAATGTACTCACTGCAGAAGTTGTTGCTGGTCTCTGCGTTCGCACTATAAACACAAGTCTCAATGGAGAGATGGACTTTATGTGGCTGGTACCCCACTCTTATACCAATTACAGTCCACGTACACACTCCCCGAGGCACACATCTACGAGGATTGAGATGGAGAATGTGTTGCTTTGCTCTGCAGTTAATAATCACTGATTCATCTTTCGTTTTTTTACACGCGATACGTTTATATATTCATATAGTCGCATATCAATATATACATCACCTCTTTAAAAAGTTCAGAAATACGTAATTATCATTAATTACGTTCGATTACGCCAATGAGAATGATGACATCCATACTTATGAACATAATAACAAATGTTTTCTGAGAATCACTAATTCTCTGTAAATGGAATATATACGGGTTCTCCCGCTTTTCTCAGAAACTAATGTGATTTAAAGCGAGTTCTATGTGATAATAAGTAACAAGAATGTCTAATGGAATAATTTTTATGGCTACTTTTTTATGTGACTACTTTATAAGTAATACCAGTAGAATATTATTTATTTATAAAATACAAAATTTACATTAATGTCTTACAATTTTTGCGACCAACGCTCACAGTATGTAAATATATAAACTTTTTGTTAAGGCACGTGTACGCGTGCTACAGTAGATTTTAAATACAAAATTATTAATTTCGTTTTATGTTAGTGTCATTGTATGACTATAAATTTATTGTAAGAGAAAATAAGACAGCAAGATGATAATGATTAATTTTGATGCTTCCAGTAAAATTCAGTAAAATTAACTTAAAAGTATAGTATGAAAATAGATGCATGTAGAAGACTGCATATTATACTATGTTACAAATGTTAAATATGAGAATAAGAAAACTAAAGTTTAAACACATATAATACTGACATTCATCGAATGTAGATAGATAAAATATTGAGCACTGGAAGATGTAACATTGGCATCATTAATTGAAACAGTTGTAAACCAAATACCGCATAAAACTTACTTATATGCAACGTTATGTAAAATATTTTGTTGTAATATTCTAATGCTTATATATGTATAGAATTTACGTAATCTAATAAAAACTGTAAGCTTACTTCCACATAAAACGGATTATGATAAAAATTATACATTTTTATTTCAAAAAATTAAATTTTAAATGATAAAATAATCGAACAAGTAAAGGACATTTATAGCACAAAATAAGTTAACCTTCAGTACACTCTGAGACATACTTTTTACGTTGTCACACGATTAAAATGCAAGATGCGAATGCAAAACGATGATACCGATTTTTCAAGTCACTTTTTTGCTTCATGCAGCAGGTAGTTTGCATTTTTCCATGCCGTTGAAGTATGGATGTTGCAATGCTGCTCTTGCGGATATTCTGTACACAGGATCATACGTGAGCATAGCTTGTAATAGATCCAGTCCATCCTCATCTAATGTCTTCACTTGCGACTCCAAATTATTCGTCATCCAATTCGGGAATGTCGCTTTGTAATCCGACAACTGTGTAACACCTGGCCATATTTCTTCCGTAGGTGTTCTTAGTATCCTGTAAAATGGCGTTATCATTAAATTTTCTACAAAGAATAATTAAAAAATAGCTTTCCTCCTGGGCATAAAGCTAAAATAAATGAATACATACAATACATAATTAAAAAGTAGTTTTGTATAATGATAAATATTTTATAATGATATAACAGTGGATAAAATGTTACCGGAATATCCTGAAAAGCTGATCAATCTCACTATCTCCTTGGAATAAGGGTTTTTTGGTAGCCATCTCTGCAAAAATACATCCAATACTCCACATATCAATTGCGCATGAATATCTCGTAGCGCCAAGGAGAATTTCAGGTGCCCTGTACCATAAAGTTACAACTTCATGGGTATATATTCTAACTGGGATTCCAAAAGCTCTTCCTAGACCAAAGTCTGCTACTTTAATGATTCCAGTTTTATCAATAAGCAAATTTTGTGGTTTCAAATCACGGTGTAATATTCTACGTTTATGACAGAAGAGAATCGCACGTGTGATCTAAAACATAAGTATTGATATTAATACATAATCAATTTTCATAAATTTCCGGTTGATATACCCAATTTGTGCATTTATATATCTAACATAACAATATTATAGAAGATAATAACTTGATGTAACTTGATTTAAACAAACCTGGTATAAATAGGATTTAACCATAGATGGTTCCATTAATTTATTTCCCAAACTATCCATATACTTTTTCAGATCCATAGTGAGATATTCAAAAATAAGGTACAACCTCGATTCTTCCATTAATACATCGATTAAGTTCACAATATTTGGATGACTTAACTCTTTGAGCAATGAAATTTCCCTAATAGCAGTTGATGGTATTCCTTCGTCATCACTTTCTAAACGAATCTTCTTCATAGCTACAATTTCTCCAGTCTTCTTATGCTTCCCTTTATACACCACTCCATACGTACCTAATCGAAAATCAAACTTTTAAAACGTACTGCATATGTTATCTATATACAAATAATATATAGATAATAATCAAACATTCGCAGTTGGGTATATAACCAAAAATGAAATTTTGAGGAAAGAAATAGCTAGTAATTAAATAATATTGCAGTGCCCATTTAACAAAAAGAACTTTCTCTATTCTGTTTAACCATAAATATCTAAGTATGATATATACAATTTATAACATTCTAATGCCATAAAAGAGTACGAGTTTTTCATTAGAAATGATGCAGCAGTAGATGAATTGTTGTTGAAAACAGATAGCTATATATATTTACTCCAAATATGATGTAACACATACGATGCAGTAACCTGAGGACAATAGTCCTGTACTAGGATAATATCACACACTTACCTTCTCCGATTTTCTCTATTTTAATGAAGTTATCCATTATGCGTAGCAAAGGGAACAGAGGTAAGTTCTACAGCGACCACCGAAACTTCGCGTGATCCACGTGTTGACGAGGCTAGTTCTTGTTACAAAAGTTCGTCAGATGTCGGCAATAAGGTAACGAACAAATTCAAATCAAACGTCGGTATGCGCCATATTGGTAAACACATCTACAGCTGTGTTACGAACTGCTGCCGCTAGACGTTCCGACTTACTATGTACTTCCGCTGAGTGGCGCGCCTCAATACAATGGCAATATCCTTTCTTTATGCCTCCTGCACACAGAATTCACACAGAATTCACACTAGAACAAGTTTCACTTAACAACCAATCAGCCTTTTACTTGTCCGAAAATAATAAATGTCATAAGAAATAATTGACTAAATAAATGACTGCACCATTTTTGGTGCATGTCTTGTATAACGAATCCAAAACTTTGTGGACGTGCTTTATTGCCACATCTATTAATGCCCGATTCTACCAACGTAGATTAATTTTAATCTCGGTTTAACTTACTCTTCACCTTTTGCTAATTCTTAGAACTAGAAAAAGATGAAGAGTAAGTTGTCCGTGATTAAAGTTAATCTATATTGGTAGAAATGGGCATTACTCTCTCAACTTAACTTTTGACAAAATGAACAGAAATTTTATGAGTTTGTACAAAAATCACTATTTCAACATAATGAAACAATTACTTAAATACTTAATTTACCCATGTTCTTATTTGTACATTTATATATAAATTTAAAGGAATAATTGGGAACAGGAGTCCTGAGAAATTTAGATTACTTTATGATAAAATATAGTCAATAAACAATCCAAATTATGGCAAATAGCATAATAAATAAGCAGCGCATCCGAGATTTCTAGATAATCTTAATAAATTTATTTTTAGTGTTTATAACACGCAAATATATAATTTCATTTATTTATGGTGAACTTTGAAGCTAATTCGGTTGCAGCTCGCTATCATTACTTAAAGACTTAAAAATAACCAGACTCAATATAAGATCATCAAATTGCTGAACGTAACATTTAAATATACCTATATCTAAATGTAATTAAACAAGATATGAGGTTTCAGTACACTTTATCGTGGAAACTGATAGCCACTGGTAGCATAACCCAGCCCTACACCACGCTGCGTGTGTGTAGTAGCGCGTGCAACTTCGTATTGCTGCTCCATATTATTGAACATCTCTTCCTGTTTCTTTAGAATATCCGGCTTGGCTCCCACTGTCGGTGCGCTAGGTAAATCACCCTTAATACCCATCAGTCGCTTAAATTTGGCTGATACCTTTCCATCCTGATCGTGCGTGAAAGTTGTTCCCATCCATGTATTGGCAGTGGACGCCGTAGTCGATGTGCTATTACCGTCGTCTTGTTTTGTCTACAAAAGAAGAAATAATAATATGATTATAAAACGAGATGAATAAGATTGATAAATGATATCATTATTGTTATAAGTAATCACTACTTTACCTTTGCCCACAGCAACTTCCTCTTCTGGATTTGCTCCGCGTACTTGCCCTGCGTCGCCGTCGCTAGCGGATTGTAATAATTTTGTTCGCTCTGCACGCCGCTCGGCATACAGTCACCACCTTCCGGTGGCTTCAGCTCTATGCCTAGTTTTTCCAATTGGGCCAGCTTGTTCCGACCTTTTTCCTCTCGATAGCTCATTGCCCTAAACGACGACAGCGGCGCGCGATCTCTCGATCGCGATCTCGACCGCGTGCGATCCTTTTCCTTGTGATAACTTGAGCGCTCGTCCCGATGTCGATCCTTTGACCGATCATCCCTAGAGTGTCGTCGATCCCGATCCCGATCTCGATCCCGATCTCGATCCCGGTCCCGGTCCCGATCGTTGCGGTCCCTGCGCCTATCCCTGTCACGATTACGATCCCTCTTGTCGTCCCTATGATGATCCTTGTCACTCCTCTCTCTATCGTCATTCTTCTCGTCTCTGGACGATCCAAGGGACGTTTTGCGCTTGTCATCATCCCGCGATGATCTTCTGTCATCGTCTCGACTTTTCCGATCCTTACTTCGATCTCTGCGATTACTACTATTATCACGTTGCTTTCGATCATCATAACGACGATTTTTATCGGATGAATGACGACTCCGATCGCTGCGGTCTCCTCGCCTGTGATCGTCTTTCGAACTCGTGTGGTTCTCGTGATCGGTTCGCCTGTAAAACGATTACGTTCTGCAGGGGTATACCACACAGATGCGTATTATTATTCTGTACATGACAGATATATAATTTGATATAATTCTAACAGGATATACTAAAATTACATTCATAAAAATGTACTCAAATCTTGGAAAAAATTTCTTTAGAATTTCAGGTACTTTTTATAAAATTTCGACAAAATAAAATGTTTTTTAATAAATTCAGAACAATTTTATTTGTTGTATAAACTTCTTAATATTTCCTATTCAGAAAAAAAATAATTTAAAAAATTAAGAAAACCATTCAAGTTTCAAATATCAAATTTTAAAAATATTGCAAAAAAAGATTCATCTAATTAAAAAATAAAAATAAAATTCGAAGACATAGAAAATCTTTATTTTTAATAAAAATTACCTGATTTTTTCTGTCAAAAATAAATTTCTGAGACTTCAAAGATTTTCGAATTTCTCCAGGTAGTAAATACCTTGCTTATATAAAATTTTATCTCTATAAAACATCGCATTAGTACCTGCATTATGTATAATTAACAAACCAGCCTACCTCTGGTCTGAGGGAGAAGGTAAAGCCCGAGACGATTCCGTTCTCGAGCTAGATTGCGTCGTTAAAGGACTATTTGTGTGTTCGCTACTGGATTCTCTAGACGAATTGTTGTTGTTGCTCTCCTAAAGAAAAGAAAAATTATCACCTTAGTACGAACCTCTACTAAGTAAGAAATAGCTCTTAATTCCTACCGCAAAAACTATTCAGAATACGTAACTTTAATACACGCAAAATTGAATTTTCTGACAGTAAATAACATATTCGGAAAATTTATATTATCAATTTAAAAAAAATGCTTTTAATGGGTATTAAAAATAATGTCAACTTAAAAAAATGGGAATTCAATTTTCTTGCATCTTTGGTTGTACTTGATACAAAAGTTTTGACACACAATAATCTATGTGTCATTATATTAATTATAGACAATATATACATGTTTATATGTTAATTACCAATAAGTAAAAGTGGAACCAACATATGAAACGATTGTGTCACAAAAAAGAGAAAGAGAGAGAGAGATAGAAATAGAGATAGAGGAATATGAGGGCCCTTCACATCTATCTGCTTCTGCAGTTAGTTATTACCCGAGTATACTTGTACACATGGTTTCTTTGATGGTTGATGTTTTGTTAGTGTTACCTTCTGCCAGCTTCCTCTACTCACCTATGTCTTCTGATTAGGACTTGGGGGTAGTCTTGAAAGACCCTCACACAGCATAGACCTTGCCGAGATGCGTAGATATTGTATCATGTATTACCAACAGAGCTACGTGTTAATATTGTCTCACGAAATGGCACTATTCCCATTTACTTATCATTTAAATTTTAACTATGTCAATGATAGCCCGATTATCCTGCGTAAGATTTCAAGGTCCTGTCTTGTCTCCTGATACAAGTACTAAGCTAATTTTGCCCAATTTTATTTGTAATAACTTCTATTGTGCCAAATCATAATCTGCTTAATTGTCTGATAGTGCTTCCAAATAGTAGCTTGCAAATTGTATTTGTTTATTGTGGTAATATTGACTATAATTTGGTGACATGACCTTGCAAAACCAGATAGCCCCTTTACATATCAGGCCTAAGACTTTGCACGTACATACAGCACCCATAAAGTCATTGTGGTATCTTCTTAGGCATTGTCCGAATGATTCGTACTTAATAACTACGAATTAAAAATAATGGGTGTGTGCTTTTACTATACCTCACTCATGTCCATTTGTACTGGGTCATAATTAGCATCGCTAGCCCTCCTATTTGCCTCTTCCTGCGCTTGATCTGGCATCTGGAAAACAAAATCAAGTACTTTGCATTAATTACACATATTGATATAAATTTACAATTACATATTATATATATTTATAATTATAATTTAAATAAATTATATAATTTATAAAATTTATATTAAAAGAAATAAATTAATTGCATATATAGGTATGAAATACACGATGTGTAAATTGTAGAACCATGTATAAATTATGAAATAATGTTCATTAGATAATGTGTATAGCGGAACTATGTCTAGCTACGTCTAGCAATATACATGGCTATTCCGAGGCGTCTTGAACAAAGCTAACCGGTTGTCAGGAACGCGTTTACAGCGTATTATTAGCGCGTCGCTACAATTACTCACCTTCACGTCGTCCGAATTGTTACTGTTCTCGCCGTCGCTAGCGTAATTCGCCAGCGAATCCATAATGGCGTGTAAACGACACAATCAATTGTTTGCTAAACTGTCCGTATTACAACGTATATCGTTCCTGAGTGCTATTCTGGCGCAACGCGTCGATCCTAGAACGTAGACTTTCTAAATCTTCTAGACCTCCAGTTAGTGTGATTTGATAGCGGAAGCAAGATATGGACTAAATATGGTGTGTTCAGCAAGCGCAACCTAGCGGTAACACAATGCATTGTCTTAGCCTCTGTATAATTTTGTTAAAATTTTTAATCAACCGTAAAAATCAGCTGATAACATATGCCAAAGAACTGCAGTGATTAATCTACTCGACTCATCAAAGTATACAAGTATCTCCGAAAAAACATGAATGTCATGTATCCTTGGACTTTAAAAAGCTCATACAAATTGTTGAAGGATACTTCAGCGACAGATATGAATAATAGATGTCATACAGCAAATCATGACACGATACTTCCGTCCTTGCCTAGAACATGTAGCAAAATTGCAAAATTTGACATCTGCATTTCCTTATATACTCCCACCACTCGTATCGCAACCAATCAACGAAATCTATTATAAACGCTTTCATTGGTCGGTGCAGGTGTGGTAGGGATTCCAATATGTTGATTGGTACGCCGCTAGTACACCATAAGGGTATATAAGAAGCGCATACGATTACTCCGGCTTTTGGCACATGACGCCACCCTTGGAGAATTGGATTCAAAGCAGTCATTGCGCTAATGGACATATGATCTAACGAACATAGCTCAAATATGACGTGCCACTAGATGGCGCCTGGTCCTCGTCCAAGTCAGTAGATAACAAGTTTTACCTCTCATATTTTTTGAGTTATTTTAAATATTGCTTATTGTTAGAGGAAAATAACGTTTTCCAATAAACATGCGAGTAAATTCAAAGATTTATAATTAAGTATAATTATAATTAAAACCATCTAAACTACGATTTCAATTTATATTTTTTTTAATTTGGAGATTAATTCTAACATAAATAAGTTCGATTACTGATCTAGCTAATTTTCTTTACAATTGCGAATATACTCGTGTGTATCGAATTTCCATCGTGTTGATATAATAAGTATGCCGAAGGGGGATTAATGAGAGCGTTCTTCCCGTGCAGGGAAAATCCGATCGACAATATAAAAATAACAAACTTTTTCTATAACGCCGAGAAACTACAATATGCGTACTTTACACTTTCTCACCGCCGGCAATTTCTACCGTATCATGTAATTGTAATTTACGATCAAATATGCGAGAGAGTAGATTAACGAAAGAAACAGGTTGATAGATATATACCGGCTAATACCCGAGACGGCAGTAAAGATTAATCAACGATGCAAGCAGTAAACAAGCATTGCTTCTTACTTCCTTTTATCAAAAATATTAATGATAATAGAGTAAATTACAATCTCTCGTATCTTTTACTTTTTTTCTACTTTTCTTTAATTTTATCTATAAAGTTCACTTTCTTCCTTCTCATCCTTTATCGATCTTATCATAATTAATTACTGTTGATTCTAATTAAGTGCACAATAAGTCAGTATTACAATGTAGAAGGAAGCGAAGAACTAATTAAATGATACTTTATAAAATTGATTCTAAGTATCTTATTGACTCTCTAAATCACATCTCAGAGAATCTTCGTTCAAATTATGGCGTCTAGAGCATATTTTAAGACTGTACGATTGCAAGCCATAAATCAAGTAAGACTATATGCATGATTGAAGACGTTGGAGGCCTCGGGGGTTAATACACGAGAATATGCAGCTATGCAAGAGCGCGGTTCAGAGGTACTCGAACTCAAGAGTATCGTGGTGCGAGGCAAGATTCCGTTCATCTCTATCTGCGCCTTCGGAAGGATGCGCGAAGACGGAGATGGAGTCGGATAGAGTACACACCACGTACGAACGTACGGAGCAGCTCGCATTGACGTTTACGCGCGGAGAAGCGCGGCGCGCGACGAGCCGAGCCGGCGGCTTGCCGCGCGCCCGAGCTGCACCGCGCCGAGCATCCGCGCGGGGCGAATCGCCGGGACGCAACAGTCGCTCGCCGGACTTCGCGCTGGAGTTATCGTCGCAGCATGCGTGCCGCGGTACACGCGTTCACGTTCAGTGACACGGTCTCGTGATTATTCATTCCGACATCGCTCCCGGCTGTATCTTCCCCCCCGAGGGATCGAGGGCCCATTTCCCAGCGAGAACACACGCACGCACCCGTCGCTTCCGGATCGTAAGTAGATAAATCATACTTGCGCTGTCCCTCCATTGAGATTCGCGGGGGATGCGATCGCGCGCTCGGCTACCTCCCGGGTTGCACCTCTGACCTCGAGAGGGTTGGTTGCACTGTACAATGTGGGTTACCGTTACACCCGATCTCGTACGCGTTTCCCGTCGATGTAACAGCTAGCGTTGTCGTCTAAAAGAAAACGCATCTGAGCGAATTCCTATCAGAAATTAAGTAATTGCTAATATGCTCGGTATAACTATTATCCCAAGGGCTCGTGCAATGTAGGTTAACGGTGTAACACTCGTATCAACTAATTTTCTTTCTCTATTTCTGGCTTGAGTACAGCTGCGATCTAGAAAATGAGAGCAATATCGTCGATGGCAATTGCTTAACCGGTGTGTGACTGATCCGAAGGGCTGATCGCACTAATGTGAGTTAGCGCCAACTCCGTTTAACCAATTTCCCCTTTTCATGCATATTATATAACGAATGATGATTTGTGCAAAATGCCACGGTAAATCGTAATAATTAGTGATAGCCAAGCTGTGTCATTGAGATGTCATTCTAAACTGTTCGAGGATATCGTCCTGCTTAGTCACGTGCAGTTTTGGCATTATTCCAACTTAAGGAGCACTTTCAAAAATTGTATTGCACTATATAATTTTATTTTCACAATTGACATTATCGGTGATTAATAATTTATCCGAAATTAAATCACTGTAATCACTTTTATGAATTTCACTGAATTAGTTGTACATAAAATTTCGTGCGCTGACTACAGAGTTTCATCGTGGGAAAATCAGAATTTCGAGGCAGGACGCGCGTTCGCGTTAATGGAATGTCTCTCGTCACTTCATTTTCGAGGAACTAGATAGCGAATTTCGCTCTCTAGAAGAACGACGTACTCGAACGCAGCGACAGCGCAGTCGAAGCAACCCGGCAGTAAAGTAGCGTTCGTTGTAATGTCGTCGATTCCCTCTCGAATCTACGTGACCCGCTTTTCGACTGGAATCCAAGCCAATTGTTTTTAACGGATCACATCCTCCGGCGCAGTTTCGACCCGTCCGCGGTTTCCAGAATCACGACCGTGCTAATTGACTTCTCGGCCGACAAAATCCGGGCGGCTCCTCTTGATTCGTCGTGACAATCGTAATCAGACGCGTATTATTAACATTAAACGAAATTACGCATTTCACTGCGACTCGAAATTATTCCTATACATACACGATACATTCTTCTTTCTATTGATCTCGATATTGGCGAGATTGTATTGTCGAAAGAACGTGACTGAATAACATCGAGGTTCACTCGACGCGTTGACGCGATGTCGGGTTAATCAACGCTCATAGTACGAGCGTAGATATATTAAAATTGTATGGTGCGTGATCGCTGTTCGTCGACCAGCAATGTTAGCACGTTTAATTTTAATGTCGCGCCAACACGAAAGCGCTCGTCCTGGACGAGTCCTTGGATTTTAATCGGAACTCCGAAACTTTTTATCGCTTTAAATCTTGGTTTACGACACCGGATGACATAATTTTTTCTCTCCCTTCGCGCCGTTGCGAAAGGCCGCCTGATTTAACTTCGTGCGAGCGCGTCGACAAATAAATGCCGGCAAAAAGCCTCATAAGTGCGAAAAGCCTCGCGATTATCCTGCGGCATTTTTTCTCTCTTTTCGTGACATCACCTCGTGATATATCGTTGCATCACTGCACGCGCGTTAATCTTCTCCGCGCCCAGCCGCCGAGCGAGTTTCTGCTACCAAACGCTTCCCAGAGGGCTTATTTGCCTGGCAAGCGCCTGTTCTCGCGAACAACAAGAATATTATTTATAGCAAATTTCTGGCGCGTAATGTAAAATCGATTTATGGAATAATGTCGAAATCTTCGGCCCGTATATAACAATAACTGTGCCATTGTCACTTATTGAAATGGAAATGTTATACAGATATCCAATAACTTGGAAGCAAACACTTAGAATCGTTTCGTTTCAATCGCATTTGGCGGTAAAAGGTGTCGCGATATGAGAGTGAATTGCGGATGACTCGTGCGCGAGTTTGTATCGACCGGCGAGCTGGTACCATTCAGTTCCATCAACGAAAACGGTTCCCGGGACATTTGAAGGATCATTAACATTTTCCTTGAAAATAGTGGAGGGAGTCTTGTCGTCGAGAGATAGGAAGGAAATCATTCCCGTTTTTTCTTTTTTTTTTGGAGATAATCGACTTCCGCCCACGATACTTTTCAACCTATGCGATTATTTATGTTTCCTGGGAATATTCGTAATTTGTGCGGGCAAATAGCATGCGAATGTGCAATATCGTCCAGGAAACGGCGAACCCGAAACGGCCGAATTGTCACTACTTCGACACAAAACAGTTTTGATCGAGTCGACCAGGTGACGCGAGCTCTATTGCGAACCAGTTTGTAGAACTTCTATATACCGCCTTTCTTATCATGTAAGATCTTCCCGCTCTACCACGCACGCATCGGTGGTGTACGTGTGGCGTGCCATTATGCCAACGGGCAAACTACGCGCTCGTGTCACTCCGCGCGTAACGCGTGCGTTCGCCTCGCGACCTGGACACTCGTCTAGGGCTGCTTGCACCCACGGATGCGCTTACGGTAATTTGAAAGTGCACACTGTTGGAAAATATACTTCCAAGAATGGCAAAACATTTATAAAATATTTCTGAATATTTTTATCCATCTGAAAAAATCACAGTATTACCATAAAATTACGTTGAATCCGGAAATCACAATTTCCGATAATTTATTTAGTCAGACAAAATTAAATATAATTTATAATTTTTTTTTTAATAAAATAAATTATGTTTATAATTTACAAAGTCCGTTTTAATATATATATTTATTTATTTACTTCAGCTTAAATACGCTTTAATAAAATTATGTTTAAAATAAT